GGTTGCTAAATAAGGCATTATATATAGTATGTATATTACAATATTCAGAACAAAGAAATGGTCAAAGAAAATTCCAACTTGATGACTTTGCTTTTATTTACATAACTCTTAGATGTAGCATTGCATAATAGAACATAAAACTATTACTGTACAATACAATCAGGAAAAACAATAGTACTATATAAACAAGGACACTGAGGGATACCCACTCGGGACCCCTCCTGCCCCTCAGGAGCTTTCCTATCAATAAATATCTTCCTACTTTTAATCTTCAAAAAAAAAAAAGGACACTGAGGCTCTGTAAACAAACTACACAGAACTGTACAAAAAAAAAAAAGATGGTTATAAACCTTAATAGTGTGCTTCAGTCTTAAGTCCAAACAGTCATTAAACATGTAGGTTGTTAAACAAGGAATATCTGTAATTAAGTGGATGGATAGGACGACCCATTCTGTTGAGAGCAGTCAACCTCTTTCTTCAGCCACCCTTGTCATTGCCCAGTTGGCTCATGAACAAAGTGGCCATGGTGTCAGGGATGGAGGTTATGAATGGGCTCAGCAAAATGGACTCCCACTCATCAAGGCTGATCTGGCTACAGCCACTGCTGAATGCCCAGTATGCCAGCATCAGAGACCAACACTGAGTCCTAGATATGGCATCATTCCCTGGGGCATAAGCTTATGACCTGGTGGCAGGCTGATTATATTGGACCACTTCTATCATGGAAAGGGCAGCTCTTTGTCCTTATTAGCATAGACACTTATTCTGGGTATGGATTTGCCTTCCCTGCACTTAATGTTTCTGCCAAAACTGCCATCCATGGACTTACAGAATGCCTTATTTACTGTCATGGAATTCCACAAAGCATTGCCTCTGACCAAGGAACACATTTTATGGCCAAAGAAGTGAGACAATGGGCTCATGCTTTTGAAATTCACTGGTCTTACCGTGTTCCTCATCATCCAGAAGCAGCTGGATTGATAGAAAGGTGAAATGGTCTTTTGAAGATGCAGTTACAGCACCAGCTGAATGGCAATAGCATGCAGGGTGGGGCAAGGGTCTTCAAAGGGCTCTTTAGGCTTTGAATCAGCATCCACTATACGGTCTTGTGTTTCCCACAGAGAGGATTCACACGTTCAGAAACCAAGGGGTGGATGTGGGAATGGTATCACTCACCATTATCCCTGTGATCCACTAGCAAAATTTTTGCTTCCTGTTCCTGAGACCTTATGCTCTGCTGGCCTAGAAGTCTTATAGTTCCAGACAAGGAAAGGATTGTACCAGGAGGCATAACAATGATTCCACTGAACTGAAAGCTAAGACTCCCCACTGATCATTTTGGTTTCCTCATGCCCCTAAGTAAACAAGCTAAAAAGGGAGTTACAGTGTTGGGAGGCGTCCCTGACCCAGGCTATCAAGGGGAAATTGGACTATTACTCCACAACAAAGGAAAGGAGGAATATACTTGAAGTGCAAAACTCTTAAGGCACCTCCTACTATTACTATGCTCTGTTATTGAGGTCAATGAGAAACTACAATACCCTGATCCAGGCAGGATGACAAATGGCCCAGTACCTTCAGGAATAAAGGTATGAGTCACTTCACCAGGGAAAGAACCAAGACCTGCTGAGGTGCTTGCTGAAGGCCAAGGGTAGAAGATCTACATACCAGCTACAACTCCATGATCAGTTAGAGAAACAAGGATTATAACTATAATAGAGCTCTCCTCATATGCTTATTTAACATAATGTTGAATAGGCTTAGTTCTTAAAAGTATTGTTAAACCTATTCATAATGTTCAAGTTATGAAATGTTAGGAGTAAGCATTACCTAAAGAAAATGTGCCTTTTATTTTGAGGAGGGAATTAGTGCATTTCCATGTGTACACTGAACAGTTGTACAATGTTAGACATCATTATGAACATGTCCTTGTACCTGGAAACTAAGTATGTTTTAAGGAAATGTGTCTGCTTGTCAAGCTGACAAGGGGAAGCTTGTGATAGTTAACTCTTGTGTCCCCGGGAGTAAAAAATGCCCAATTGCTTGGATTAGCATAGTTCTGGGTGCGGCTGGATGGATTTACTTAAAACAGAAGACCCACCCTGGGTGTGAGTGGCACTAATAGGCTTGTAGCCTAAATGGAATAAAAGGGAACAAGGAAGTAAGTCTTGCTTCTGTTTCTTTGGAGGTGTTCCCATCTTTGCCTTCACCTTTGATGTCTGTCCTCTGGCTTCCAGCACAGACTCTCTAGCCTTCTAGCACAGATCTTTCAGCCTCCTGATACAGACTCCCACAGGATTCTACAGTGAGCTCCAGGCCTCCAACCTTAGACTGGATCCTTTGGATCTTCAGTGCACAGACAGCCCTTTTGCATTCTCCCACACCTGACTCTGAAGGCAGCCTTTGTACATCTACCTTGTAAATCCTTATATACCTCTTTATATCTTATATTAAATGTTTCTCCAGTGAGCATTGACTTGATGCATCAGCCCATTTTTCACTTTGAGACAGGGTCTTGCTAAGTCACTTAGTTGCCAGGATGAGCTTGAACTTACAATCTTCTTGCCTCAGCCTCTGAACACTTATTCTGTTTTTTTTCAAGACTGTTTTGGTGACTCTGGGCCCTTTGCGTATTCATATGAATTTTAGAATCAGCTTGTTAATTTCCTTAAAAAATATACTGAGAGATTTTTATAAAGACTGCATTAAATATGTAGATCAATTTGAGGAGTACTGAATTCTTAACAATGTCAAGCATTCTGATTCATGAACATGGGATGTCTTTTAGATCTGAAGGTTTACGCTTTTTCATTAAATTTATTCCCCAAGTATTTTGTTGTTTCTGATATTATAAATAAAACTGTTTAATTTCACTTTCAGTTTGTTCATTTCAATTATTTAAAAATATAATTGATGTTTTGTGTTCTGATCTTATACTCTGAAAGCTTGTTGAAATAATTTATAGTCCTAATAGTTTTTAGGAGATTCATTACAATTTTTTTATACATCATCACAGCATTTGCAAATAGAGGTAGTTTCACATTTGGATGTCTTTTATTTTGTTTTCTTTTACAGAATCAACTTGAGTTTCTTTTTCTAGTCTCCTTGTTGTGGTCGTTATCTTTTATGCTGGAGTCTTTCTTCAAATGTCTAGACAGCTGGCTATTAGTTCTCATTAAGAGCCAGGATTTGAAGCTCTGTATAGACTTCATCAAGGATGATACAGTAGTAAGAAAGCTTTTTTCAATGGTAGAATCCCTCAATTCTCTCTTTATAGGTCTTTTCTCTGTGGCCAGCTTCTCCATAGTTCTCTTCTAATTTTGTAAGAAAATGCATCTCCAGTTGATGATATTTGAAAACAAGGTAAGGTAAAGAGGGTGGGGACTGCATCTTTCATACAGTCCTTGGTTATCAGCGCTCTGGGAGATAAGAGGGACTATGAGCAGAGAGATCTCAATAATCAGTATGTACATTTCTTTTTAATCACTTATTGATAGCACAGGATACCTATCTTTTGCTGTACCAAGTATTCCTGAATCTAGACTTTTCCAGTTCGATTTCTAAAAAAGAGATGTTTCCATTCAATTTTGGGAACATAGGTGAGATAGCTTGAGTCTATGTGGGATGGAGGATAATCCCTGGAAGTTTTAAAACTCTTTTCAATAATTTTTCTAATATATAAACAAAGTACTTTTTTCCATTAAAGCAGATTACTTATTGTGAAATTAGAATGTAACTCTAAATAACCTTCGTAAAATAGTTCTTTAATTCCACAAAGATATATTAATCTAGATGAACTGACAGGTTATAACATTTAGTCCCATAAGGAGAATTTTGATAATAAGCCATTAATACCAAGCTAGTACTTTACAAGAACAGTAAAAGTAAGTTTGAATGAAGAAAGAGAGCCAGGATGAAAATTAGAAACCAGAAAGAAGGAAACTCTGGGAGACAGAGAAGCATCATATTTTAACATCAATAAAGGAATATTCTATGATCTCTAAAATAGAAAATTATTTCTATGCTTAAAAAAAAACAACACATAGGGCTGGGGATGTATCACAGGGGTAGAGCATTTACTTTCCCAGCATGTACAAGGCTCTGGGTTCAATCCCCAGTACCACAAAACAAACAAATAAACAAACAAACCTCCAATGTATAGATGTACTTTAACTATAGATCTTACTTCATATTCTCATATAATTTCAGTAAAAATAAAAATATAATTAGATTAATTTTTTTTCACAAAGGCCTTTTTGTACTTAAAACATTTCAGAAATCCAATTTTTCTTAGGAGTATGTCAAAGATGAACACTGACTGTAATTCACAATAATGGGCTGGGGGTTTAGCTCAGTGGTTTTGCCGCCTGCTGCACAAGCGCAAGGACCAGAGTTCGATCCTCAGTACCAAAAAAACCCGAAAAACAAAAAAACACAATAATGAACAATTCAGAATTCCTACTAATAAGTCAGTCAATATAAATAAAGGAACAATTAATAAATCAGTATGTAAAATAAATCATCCTGCTCCTGGTCCTACAAGCAATTATGCTGTGAAATGAGAGCTGTTATCAATAGTTTTCTATAATTACACCAGTGTTTCAACAGTAGTTTATCAAATAGAGAAAAAAATGTACATTAAACCAAAAGAAATACATTCTAAAGAAAACATTAAAGTCAAGTTCCCTAAAAACATTTCTCCCCTAAGGGAAAAAAATTCAGTATTTAAAACCTGATTTTGTTAATACTGTTGAAGTAAATGAGCTAATGTTTGCAATTTAGAATGAGCGTTTGTTACACAGTGGACAAAGTTATACTACATCAGAAGGTGTATTTTACCAACATTACTTTTCTCCAAAGATATTTTAGCTAGGATTTCTGCAGTTCTATTGCTTTTTAAGCATTACTCAATCATGAACTATTCTTTGTTATATAATGAGTTGTTATATAACATCAGAAAGTATATTTTATCCAGATGAGGGGGAAAATGTATTACTTACACTTTTCTTTATTGCCATTGGTATTGTGCAAGAAGTCGCCATCAGAACGTGTTGTAGGAAAGTCATCTTCATCATCTTCTACCACTAAATAAAATAATTTAAGAATATTAGCATGAAAAAAGGAAATCAGTTTATTCTTATATTCAACCAAGTCAATACCCTTCAGATACTGTAAGTACAAGATCTTATTTATCTTTTGTATTTTTACTAGATATCAAGGTATGCTCAATAAATATAATTAAATAAGATATTATTTTGCCAGGTGGAGTGGCACATGCCTGTAATCCCAACACTTGGGAGGCTGAGGCAGGAGGATTGCTGGGAGTTCAAGGCCAGCATGGACTACATAGTGAGCTCAAGGTCAGCCTGAACTACATATTGAAACCCTATCTCAAAAAAAAGAAAAAAAAAAAAAAGAAAGAAAAAAAAGCTAATTATTTTAATTATCCATTCTTATTTGTAAAAGAGACAGCTATTAAGTAATAACTTATTTTTCACTCTTTGAAAGACCTAGAAGGGGGCTGGGGATGTAGCTCAATGGTTCTGGTGCCTGAGCCTGCCTGGCAAGCACAAGGTCCTGAGTTCGATCCCCAGTACTGCTCAAAAAAAGAAAGACCTAGAAGGGCTGAGCGGGGCTCTCAAAGGATATCTACATGCAGAAGATATCACAGCTAGTCTGAGTGTTTTAAATCTGAAATTTCTGTATTTGCAAGGAAAACAGAACTACTTCCAGATATGATATTTTCATTCATCCTACTGGGTACCTATGCCTAGAAATTATTTTATAACATCTCCAATTACAGAAAAAAAACTAAACTAAAAACAGAATTCTTTGTGTTTTCCTCTTGTATACCTTTCTTCTACTCCTTTTTCCATGCATTATACTTACTATATATACTACTCATAATGCAAATTTTTGAACCTCAATCCTCAACCTATTTTCTGCTTGTATCAAAATTTTTGTGGCATATTTTACAAGTTGAGCACCTATAATCTGAATATCTGAAATCCCAAATGCTGCAATGTTCAAAGCTTTTTGAGTGCTGACATGATGCTACAAGTAGAAAGTAACACATCCAACTTTAAGCACATAAAAAATACTATATAAAAACATCTCTACCTTATGTTTATTTGATGTATATGAAACATAAATGGATTCTGTGTTTCTACTTGGGTTGTATCCCAAAGACCTCTCATTATGTATATGAAAAATATTCCAAAATCCAAAACAAATTCAAAATCCTAAATAATCTTAATTCCAACTGTTTTGGATAAAGAATACTGTGTTATCCTTTGAAGGACTCTCTCCAGAAGGAATCTTCATTCTAAACTAATGTCACATACAATTTGGTACTTCTTTACCTAAGGAGTACTTTGGCTCTAGAAGGAGAACCATGTTCTCTTTACCTCTTTCCCCTATGGATGCAGAACCGAATTTGATACCTTATTTCCTCCCTTGACTAAATGGTAGGAATCACTATGAACATTTTTAATTACTGGACTGCTTAACTTTTCATCATTTGAAACCTTTGCCACTCGTTTACAATAATTTTTTCTAATTGCAATCTGCTATTATTTACTAATACCTGGTATTCACTTCTACCCAGCTGAATGACATCACTATCATTCGTACAGACTTCAATACCTATACTGAAACCTCTGCTGATACCTGAGTCCCAAGATTACTTTCCCAGATTCTATGGATCTTTATCTCATCCATTAATTGTAAATACGATAAATTCTGAGGATCCATTAGCATACTGCACTGCTGTTCTTAAATCAGTGTTCATTATCAGGTAAGATCCTGGCCTTAACTCAATATTACCTGATTAACTGCTTTTGACCTGGTCCGTTTCTGACCTAGGCCGGTTCACCTCTCCTTAGGCAATCTGATGGACCCTGCTCCCAGGAGGTCACCATATTGATGGCAAACTTAGTGCAGATACCCAATTGGCATAGCACACTGCAGCTCAGAACTCCTGGACTCAAGCAATCCTCCCACCTCAGCCTCTCGAGTAGCTGGGACTATGGGTGTGCACCACCATGCCTGGCTGATAAACTGCTTTTAAATGCTACTTAATGGCTTGCTATTTCACTTACCTCATTAGTACCTAATTTGACTTACAAAACATCACTTTCATATTCTTAACTCTATGGTCAGCTCCTCCTGTAATTTTATCATCATTCATGATTCACAGTCTCAATTTTGTTATCTCCAAGCAAGCCTAAAAAGTACACATTCTAGGATCACCCTCAACTAAACCTTCAACTCAACTTGGATCTAAATCTTCAATTTTAGAATTGCCAAATAAGGCTCTATGAACAGAGAATCATCCCACTTAAAACACACACACACACACACACACACACACACACACACTCTCTCTCTCTCTCTCTCTCTCTCTCTCTCTCTCTCTTCTTGTTCATTTCTCTCCTACACAGCTTCAGAGAAAAAAATTTTGAAAAAAGTACTACTACCAGGGGATCTTTTTATTTATATTTTTTCCCCCTAAGAGATGGGGTCTTCCATATTACCTAGGCTGGCCTTGAACTCTTGCACTCAAGTGATTCTCCTGTCCTTGACAGAAGTGGTCCTTTGTAGCTAGGACTACAGACGAACACTACTCTACCTAGCTAAGGAGGGATGTACAACAATGCCCTTCAAGGAGTCTTTAATATATGAAAAACCCATTCCTGAAAAGCTTTTAGGTTCTAGATTGGGTGTGGACAAGTATAGTATTTATCATAGAAATCTTTTTCTTTACATTTATTTTCCTTGCATTTTTGTATTCAGATAAAAGTCATGGCTACCAACTGAACTTACAGTGCAACCATATGTAAATTAGTTCCCTGGCCTAATCTCAAAAAGATGATTTTCATGTACCCTTTAAGATCCTTACTTCACTTCTCAGGGTCTTTTCAAATATTCCTATTTTTTTGCATCTCATCAATGAAAAATTAATGCTGTTTATTATCTACCACTCATTTCTACTTTATCTTTTCTGTAACAACATATTTTATCATATTACTATACAGTAATTCTAGGTTTTATGTATTCTCACAAAGTGAAGGATGTACTTCCTTAAAAAACCAAAAGCTCTCTAAATAATATTTGTTTTGCCCTTTCTGCTGGCCTTTTCCATCTGTCTTCAGAGGCTTATAATGCTGGCTTCTATTTCTAATAGGAAGTTATCTACACTCACCTAGGAACTCTCCTTCATACCCAATACCCTGGGGTTCAACAGGATTATGGATGAAAATTATGATAAATTATTGCTTTTTCTTAAACACCCCCCCCACGATTCCAATAATTAGACAGGCACCTGTTTTATTTTTCCCAGCACACAAGTATTTCCCAGGAAATTAAATCTCTCAAACTACTCCCCTTCACCATAACTTCTGCCCCCGCAAAGACACAGCAACCTTTTTCAATGATTAGCTCTTTTAATACAATCTATTTTTATAAATCATCTCCATCTTCTGCTTTACTTCTTGACCCTATGCTTTTTGACACTGCTTATGCTTCCAGTGAAATTTCTACTTGCCAAGACTCTTGATGGGTCCCCATCTCTCTAACCATGTCTCCATTTTATTTTAAAACTCAAATTCCTTTTGCTTCTCATTCTTCAAGTCTCCTGCCTCAGATACCTGTCCTTCTACCATACTGTTAGGACTTCAATCTCATCCCCACCCCCCCATCCTGTACCAGGGATCAAACTCAGAACCTTGAGCTTACAAGGCAGGCATGGTGCCACTGAGCTACAGCCCCGGCCCTAAGACTTCAATTTAAAAAAAAAAAATACTAATACTAGCCTCGTATTTTCCATAGAATGTGCCCAAAGGTATGTCTACTACTAAAACTCAATATATGTAGCTCCATAAACAGACTAGCTATGCAAACATTGCTACTTCATTCCTCTGCAATTCTTGGATCTGTAAAAAGGGATTAATGTGATATTTCTATCATTATAATGAGTATATTGTAAAATTATAGATGAGTGTAAAGTATTTAACATTAGTCATGGTAAACACTAAAAAACACTATTAAAATTAATCATGGTTTATATCTAATTAATTATGGTTTATAGCTAATGTCCTCCCAAAACCTCATGCACTCAAAAGATGGGGCTTCTGGGAGGTGATTGGATCACTGCTGCATGACACTCAGTGGAGTAAACCATTGATGAGTTTATAGCTAAATATGATGTTGGGAAGTGAAGCCTGGTCAGAGGAGGTGGGTCACTGCTGGTGCCACCTAGAAGGAAGGGTCTATCTCCCTTCCTCTTCTCTTGATCTCTTTCTGCTCCCTTCTGCCCAGCTATGAGCAATTCCCTCTGCCATGGCCCTCTGCCTTGGGATCAGCCAACTATAAGCAGAGGTCGCTACAAACTGTGAGCCAAAATAAACTTTCCCTACTTGAGTTGTGTGTGTCAATGTTGTGGCTCAGCAACAGGATAACTAAGCCCCAAATGAAGTTTCTGTGTACTTGTTATAACTGTCCAGAGGTTTTATACTAATGATTATTCTTACCATTCCAATCTGTTATAATCACTTACAATGCTTAATCTTTTTAAAACATTTCAATTTGTGTCCTTATCTAAAACAGCAAGTAATTTTTCAAATTACTAATACAAAAACTAATTTTTTTAGATTAATTTCAACTGTTCTTGAGTTCAGTATTCTTCACTTAGGTGCCTACCAGCACCAAACACAGATTTTTCACACACCTCCCAACCAGGGCTGGAGATTGAATCCAGGGCCTTCACACTGATCTATATTCCCAGCCCTTCTTTATATTGAGATAGGGTCTTGCTAAGTCATTTTGGCTGGCCTCAAACTTGTGATCTTTCTGCCTTAGCCTCCCAGGGTGCTGGAATTACAGGCATGTACCACCATGTCTAGCTTTTTTTTTTAAGCCCAATACTCAGTACTTGCAAAACTGATGAAAACAAGAGTTACTATGGCTAACACAGTGACAACAAAGCACTCCTTGTCCAACACTGAGGAACCTTTAACGTACTCTTAGGGATATGTGACACTGTTTGAAACCATGTTCTAATACAAATTCCTCCTCTCGATCGGAATGGTCTCCTTTACCAAGACTCAAACCTGTTCTGGTAACTCTCATCTATGGAACTTGCACATTCTTCTTTCTTTATTGCTCCAACAACCCAAATTTAACCACATTAACAATAGCAGCTATTACTTATTAAGTTTTTGCTGTTAAGCAGTGCTAATATATATATTCTTATTTAATTCTCACAAATCACACATGCTGGATATAACATTAGTTTTACAGCTGAGAAAACAAAAGGTAAGAAATGTTAAGTAATCTACTTCAAGTCACTAAATTAATGACAAACAGAACTTTTAGTGTGGTGTATACGTCTTGTTTTTAAATCAAAAAAATATATTTAGGATTAATTAAATCTTACTTAAATGTGTATGAGAGATGTAGTGATGGTGGTGAAGGATCAAGTAGTCTGACTTATTACTAATTCTGATAAAACATTTTATATGAAAACAATGAACACCTAAAACAAAAGGAAAGTTTGGGTTACTATATTAATCAAGACCCTATTTCAATATAAATTAAATCTCTTTTAATGATTAATTTAGTTTTAATAATTTAATGAAAGTGCATCCACAGGGTTTTGGGGTTTTTTTGGTACCGGGGATCGAACTCAGGACGTTGCACTTGCAAGGCAGGCGGCAGCACCACTGAGCTACATCCCCAGCCCTATCATCCACAATAATTCTTAGGCTCAGGTCAGCAACACTGACTACTGAAGTAGAAAACTATGGTCCATATCCTTATTTTGCCTTTAGCAATATATTCTTAGTTGTTACAGGCTGAATTGTTCTCTCCCTGGAAAATTCCCAAGAAGCCATAACTCCCAGTACCTTACGATATGACTGTTATTTGGAGATCAATTAAGTAAAAGTGAGATTATTAGGGGTAGTGCTAATCTGAGTGGTGTCCTCATAAGACGAGGAAATTTGGACATAAACACACATACAGATATATGGTGCGAAAAGACAGGGAGATCTATGAGTGAAAAAGAGATGCTTGGAAGAGATAGGTCCCTCACTACCCTTGGAAGAAATCAAGCCTTCTAGCACCCTGATTTCGGAACTATGAGTAAATAAATCTGTTAAGCCACTCAGTCTTGTCTACATTTTTGCCTTTTATTGAAACATGTAACAGAAAGAATTCAGAATACTATTTAAAATTACTTTCCAAATCTTCTATGCACTCCAACCTCTATTTCCTCCATCATCACTTCTGTCCTTCAAATATTATAACACTGTTGGTGTAAATCACTTAAAGATAAACAAACCTATTTCTATAAGCATCATGTTTTTTGTTTAAAGGGCTATTTTCCAAGAAAAAAAAAAGGTAATGTGAACTGTTTAATCTGATATAAAAGGGTATACACTTTAAAATACTGCAAGATAAGTAGTTCAGTTGGATTTATTTTTTATTTAACTTAATTAATTACTTTTTTTTGAGACAGGGTCTTGATATACAGTTCAGGCTGGCCTTGAACTCACTATGTAGCCCAGGCTGACCTCAAACTTGCAACGATCCTCATGCCTCAGCCTCCCAAGTTCTGGGATTACAGGCATGCAACACCATGCCTGGCTCAGTTGGATTTATTTTTAAAGAAAATTATCAAATGTTAAAAAACCAAAAACAAGATATTAAAAATAAAGAATTTCGAGGCTACTTATTGGACAAAATTAAGTACTTTAAGAGGAGTATAAATGTTTATTTCTGGGCAAGAATGGATAACAGGGATTGAATTTATTCTCTAATATAAATCTAAAAAACTGGATAAAACATATGAAACAATAACTTTCAAGACACTGGTTAGCAGGCAAAAAAGGCAGTGATCCCTGAGAGTTGAGAAACAAATAGTATGAGCTTTAATAATTGCTCTAGCTCACTGCCTTGGGAGTTTCTAAACTGTACAGAAAGGATAGGGAACCCAGGGGAGCCCAGTAGATTCTTCAAATAAGGAGATAGAGCTGAAAATCCAAACAGACAAAGGCAACCAAAGTGTTCACAAAGAGTCCTTTATTACTGGTTTCTTTCTCCATGAAGAAAAGGGAGAGGGAGAAAGGAGGGAGAGAGGGAGAAAGGGAAGAGGAGAGGGAGAGGCAGGGGGAAAGGGAGGAGGAGGGGGAGAGGGAGAGGGAGATGCACTGACAGGAACAGGCAGCAGGCAGGCAGGCAGAGATTGAAAGAAAAGAGAAAGAAGAGTGGGAGAGAGGAGGACAGAGAAAGAAAGATCTATGAATAGATTCCAGATCTGGAGAACTGAATACATGCTGTGTTATCCAAGACCCATCAAGGGGTAAATTTATTGGACATAATAATGTGTGAAGATATTAGATACCATTTTTTAACAGAATAAAAAGTACCACTGAGAATTCTTCAATGGCATCTGATATAGATGATCAGAAATGAATTAGTATGTGTTATTAAAGTACTGAAATTACATGGACACCAAAATCTGTTATACTGGGAGTCTGAAGCAAAAGTGACTATAATTACCTTTATTACTTAAAGGCATTACCCGTTAAGATCAAGAAGCTTTAAATCCATTCATTCTCCAAGTAAAAATAGTGGTAATAGCCTAATTAACCTTTATCCCTTTGAAGTTCATCCTTGGAGACAGCATCAGCACAGACATCAAAGTACTTCTGGAGAGTATCAACTTGTCTACATAGGATGTCTCTAAAGGTTTCCATTTCAGCCAATTTTTCACGTAAACTGTGGCCTTTCTGCAAAACACAAAACGGGAAGGAGTAACTCATGTGAAACAAAACTGTAGTCTATTTGATCTTACGGTATTTTATCCTCTTTTAAGGTCTGTACCTCATCACTGAGGGAATTGAGTAAAGAGAAGTTCAAGGTAATAGTCTCAGGAATAGGCTTAAAAATGCCTAGTCTTGCAGCTTGATAGTTATAAATCTAAGGGAAATAAGAGAGTAATAATGCCTGACAATTTGTTAAACTAGTATTTTTATTTTCAAATTAGACACTGGAAGGACTGATTTTGAAATGGCAAAAGAATTACTGGGTATACTTTCATAGTATTGGCAAGTGTCATTAGGGAACCTTCAGGAGGAGGTGTATCTGATCATGTAAAAGTTTTTCCTTTCATTTTATCTGAGTTAATTTTAGTAAAATACAAAGTGATTCTTGTAAGCAGTAATACATATGAACTTTACCCTGTGCAGAGGCACTGATTACTAACCGGTGGATATTGATCAGTTTTGCATTATCAAATTCATTTCAGTATTCAGATTCTACTTTGAATCATATTTAACTTAAAGTCTGATGTGTTTTATATTTACGAGTCATGATTTTGCCTCCTAAAAAATTATTCTAGGTCTGCTGTGGTGCTACGTGTCTCTGTTATCTTCTCTGGTGGTGGGTGGGCTCGGTATATACGTTTGATCAAAAAATATAGTGAATGTCACTGCTGAGTGGTGTGCCATGGAAAGACAGAGATCTTCAATATGAGAGGTGTCACACTGAACCTCAGTGAGTGACAAGTTCCCATTTGTTTGGGGAAGTTGGCTGTGCACTACAGTTGAGAGGTATATTTCAAAGTGTGCCATAAGCCATGGATTATAAACAATGCATTAACATGAAATTTTGTTTCAAACTGCAAAAAAGTGCTAAAGAAACACATGAAATGTTAAAATTAGTTTATAGTGAAGCTGCAGTGACCAGGAAGACTGCTTACAAGTGGTTTGAGATTTTGTAGTGGCTTTGAATTGGTTGAAGACAGCGATCTGGATGACCTTCAACATCAAAAACCCAAGAGTATATTGAAAGAGTAAGTGAAATAATTCGATCAAACAGGCAACTGACTATTAGGGAGATTTCTGAGGATCTGAACATCTCTTATGGATCCATTCAAAGCATTTTAATAATAGATTTGAACATGAGACAAGTGAGTGCAAAATTTCCACCTGTTCCACCGGTTCTGAGGAACAGAAACAGCAGTGCTTGTCAATTTCACTTGAGTTGCTAGAGCGTTCTGGTTCAGATTGCAGCTTTTTAAGATACATCATCATGGGTGATGAAACTTGGGTCTACAGGTATGATCCTGAGACTAAGGTTCAGAGTTCTCAGTGGAAATCACCTAGTTCTCCTCGCGCAAAAAAAACAAAAGCATGCCAATCAAGATCCAACATTAAGGTGATGTTGATTAAGGTGATGTTGACCTTGATGGAATCGTGCTGAGTTTGTCCCTAGGAACAAACACTACAGTGAACTCTGAATATTACAAGGGCTTGTTAGAGCGTTTAATGAACGATGTGTGTAAAACGGCCCGAGAAATGGGCAAATGGGTTCATCCTCCATCACAGCAGTGCTCCATACCACACATCGATTCTGGTACAGCAATTTCTGTCTGATGAAAACACTGCCGTGTGTCCTCATCCACCTTATTCATCAGACCTGGCACCATGTGACTTCTGGCTCTTCCTCAAAGTCAAAATGGCCATGAAGGGTTAACATTTTGAATCGATTCAGGACATCAAGGAAACTGTGACAGCACAACTAGACACACTCACAAAGGAGGACTTCCAGAACTGCTTCACAGAGTGGCAAGAACAATGGGATAACTGTATTCAAGTGAGGGGGAGTATTTTGAGGGGGATTAATGGCAATGTGTATGTAATAAATTTGCTTTAATTTAAACATTCATCGTATTTTATGATCACACCTCATAATATCTTCCTAATAACCACTGCATTATTTTCATTAACATATTTTTTTTTTTTGGTACCGGGGATCAAACTTGGGACCTTGCGCTTGCGAGGCAGGCGGCAGAACCACTGAGCAAATCCCTGGCCCCCTTCATTAACATTTTTTATTCATTTGCTTTACTGATTTTAAATATGATCATTTCTTATATATAATCTGTTTAAATTTTTGTTTTATGTATTTTTGAATGGTGTAAGATTATTATTAGAGCTTTATTCTCCATGTTATATTTGTTAGTTGTATTTTATGACCTTAGAGTTTTCAGTATTTTCCATAGTGCTACTTTTGAAAAATTTTGGGAGTCCTCTCTGTTCTCATCCCACTCCTCTGAGCAAAACTTTAACATGAAACCAACAATATATTTGTTGACAACCTAGAAATTTTGTTATTCAGTATGATTTGTGTATTAAAAAGTAAACCAGAATTTATTTACTTTTATGTATTAATTAGAAATGGGGCATTTAACAAAGAATATATGTAACGTTTAAGTAAATACAATAGAGAACAGTTCATTTATGAAGTTTAGAATCTATCAGGAAAGATTGTCATAAATAATTGCACTGTTTTTTAAATCACCACCTTGATAAGTATTAGGACAATTAGAAGGTCTGATGGTACATTAGAGGGGGGTCATGGAGAGAGAGTCTAGAATAGCATCCCTGAGGAAACTGAAACATCAGATCTTTAAGGGTATTAAAGGAGAGAAAAGGCTGAGAAATCCCTGAGATCACTCACTCTTTTCCAAGTGCTTTTGCTTTTAAATTAATTACAAGTCACTAGGACACCTTTTGACACTGAATAGTCACAGTAATCAGGTTAGGCATTTAAATTTAGTGGAAGGCCTTAGTACAAATTTTGTTACTTACTCTTATTTTGTATTCATTACTCTCAGCCTCACCTGCCATTTGGAGGTAATAAAAACCTATCTTATCTTATGGAGTGGTGCAGTTTGAAGCAATTACTTCCAAAAATTTCCTAAGCTATAAATTTCTTAAACTTAGGCATTTTATCGCTGATACTTGGGGAGGTTGCCTTTTAAGTGACAGATGACTGAATGCATATTAGCAACATGAATAGGTTACCATAATTACTAAGCAGAGTTATATTTTGAATCATGAAGAATTAGATCTACAAGGAACAAAGTACCTCACATCTCTTCTGTAAGTTCATAAGTCCCTTCTATGTCACTGATGAAAAATGTCAGCTCTGGAATTGTGGGGAGAATAACGAAGTAGAGGTGGGGAACCTTAGACTATCTCTGGCTGCAGTTTCCTAACCAGTAAAAAGAGAACAGTGTCTGCCTCAAGTCTCAGCTTTGTCTTACGCAGAGTGTCTGCTCTTCTTGCTTCCTGTTCATTCCGTGGTCAGACAGCTTTCACTGATAGGAGGTATTTCTTTCATTTGATGTGAAGCTTGTTTAAACACTTTTTGGGTATGAAACCTCCCAACCTCTTCACTTCACACTATACTTTTGTCTCTTGCCAGACTTTGCTCTCTCCCTTGGGTCAGTCGTAGGTACGTGTCTGTGTAGCACGTTAAGATTATGAGTTCTGAGGCAAACTGGTTATTTGTATCAGTTAAATATATAAGTATTTGTACCTCTGATAGAAACTAGTCCAATGCCTTATTGCAGCCCTTAAAAGTATGGAATAAATACTACTTGATTAAAAAAAATATTATTCTACTAACAAATTCAAATAAATTACATTGTATGAAAATTCTTCCAAAACCCATCAAATAAGTTCTGGTCATAGTCTCTAATACTAAACTCAAATTATGTTACTTTGACTTAAAGTATTCATAACCACAAACCTTGAATGACGAGGTGGATGTTGCAGAATAGCCACTTGCTCCAGACACTAGTGACACCATTGAGCCATGTCGACGCAAGCTGGATTCAGATCCATATCCTGATTCAGTCTAAAAAGAAAATAAGCTACATGAAAAAAGATTTAAATAAAAAATATTTAAGAGAAAAAGAAAGTTATTATAACAATAATAAGCAGTATGCACACAAGAAACACAATAACCAATACAACCAATGCCTTTCATTCCTCATTGTCCTTTAATTTAGATATTTATTGAATACCTACTGTGTGCTGGACACAGTAGGCTAAAGGAATGATTAATAATAGGAAAACTACCTAAAGTAGCCAAATTCATAGAAACAGAAAATAGACCAATGATTACCAGAGGCTAGGGGAGGAAGAACAAGGATTTAGTATTTAAGGGGTACAACCAAGTTTCAGCTGGGGAGGATGAAGAAGTTCTGATGTACTGGGTGGTATTAAAGTACTTAATGGCACAGAACTGTACACTTCAAAATGACTATATTGGTAAACTTCACATTATGTATATATTATTAGAATTTTAAAAAATGGATAGGACAAAGCAAAAATAATACTAAGAAAACTTCCAGTACTAGTTCTTTAAAAATGGGTCTCTTACCCTGACACAGGTAATATATCACTGCCCAGTGAAGCTTTTCCTATTACACTAGGCAGTTTGTCACTGGATTTTTTTTTCTTTCTGTTAGTCCATGGTTGCAATACTACATTCCTCATAGGGAGTTGGCAAATGTACATGACAATTTTTTCTTCACTCCCTTCCTCTCCCTCCTTTCACAATGATAGGACTTATCACTGAATTATAATAGTTTGTATTTTATAATTACTACTTGACTTAGATCTTTCTGGAAGCTGAATGTTATCTTTTTCACTTTTGTAGCCAACCTGACAGTTTATGGGACAAAGACGATTCATTTTTACCAGTTAAATCATCACAACATGGAAGAAAATTTGGACTCTAGGATATCTGGGTATAGATGCAGCACTGATGATACAGTACTTTTATTTCACTTTAATGGGGATGGTACTTTTCTGAGCATCAACTTTATATTCCAGCCTCCTTAATATAATACAAAGTACTAATAATGTACACAAAAGAATATTTGCAGAAAAATAACTTCAAAGTACCTTAAACCAAGTAATTTGAATCTCTACTTTTTTTTTTTTTTTTGGTACCGGGGATGGAATTCGGGTCCTTGCGCTTGTGAGGCAGGCGGCAGAACCACTGAGCTAAATCCCAGGCCCTGAATCTCTACTTTTTGAAAGTAAAGTGAATTAAATGCTTCTGTGGATTTGACATAATACCGTGTTTATTACGGTTTTAAATAGGTATTTATATTTAACAGCATTTGATCATTTTAATGGAGTCTAGGCATCTCAAACATTAAAATTTCTTTTAAAATATTAAAAATCAGTACTGTAAACAAAGGAATAAAAACTATGTTATGTATAATTTTGGCCTAGTAAGTTTAAGAGGTAAAATAATATCTAGTTATTTTTGGTATCACATCAATAGAAACAACTGGAAATTGTTTTCGGTTACTTTACTCTCAATATTAAAATTAGGAATCATTAAAGTCATATAAAATGTATTACAAAAAATATTTGCAATGATATTTTATATCCTCAATACTCCAGCTCCTAAAAATCCATACTGTTTGTCTACCTATGACATTATTCTAACAGGAAAATATTATTTTATGTACAAGAAACATTAATCTTCTATGCTGATTAGTAAATAAAATTCTTAACTTATTTTGTGCAAATGATATTAACATTCAAAACATTTTTCCAGTATAGTAACATCATATTTATTAAATATGATATTGTAGAACTCAGTGCTTCCAGGATGTTATCAAAAGAAAAAATTAACAATTTTTTAAGGAAGGAAGGAAGTCTAAAAAGAGACTGTGCACACATTATCTTTTAAAAATAGCTACAAGAAGCAAAGTTTATAATCAATACCAAGAGAAAAAGGAAAAGATTTCTTATTAACTACGGTTGGATTTAAAAAATTAAACTGCTAAATTTATTAACTCCTAAATTCATTTAAGGTTGCAAAGGAACTAATGCTACCTAAGCTTAAAGCAAAATTCCAGAATTGTTGCTTCATGTTCTATTATATTTTCAAGGTCACCTGTATAATTTATCTTTGTAGGAAAATAATTTTTTTTCCTTGGGGCTGGGGACATGGCTCAGTGGTAGTGCTTACTAGCATCCCATGAAGCCTTGAGTTCAATCTCTAACACCACAAACTTGGCAAAGAAAAACAAAACACAAAAATCCATAAATAGTCTTATTCCAGTACTACGTACACCACATTAAGTGCTAGAAATTAAATGTCTTAGCATCGAAGAACTTATAGTAACCTATGGCACCTTCAACTTCCCAGATTAACAATCCTCTGGCCAAAATCCACCTACACCCTCACCCCCTCAACCTGAAAATGAATTCTCCAAGGATTTCAGTACAGTAAGTCCCCAATTTATGAGCAAATTCTGCTTTGGGAGAATGTTCATAAGGTGGATACATTTGTAATCTGACAGTGAGTCTCATATAGTACACCTGTGAAAGTTGGAGACTTACTGTATATGGAGCACAGATGTTAGTGAGAAGATAAACACTTCTTAGCATGCATACTTTATGGTCCTCCTACCAGGACATTATGAACTGAAATGTACTAGAATCCTTTATTTTTTAAAATTTTGTTTTTATGAGTACGTTTATAGTAGATAATGATTACATCATTGTGGGGAGTTGGTACATGTATATAACACATCTTAATTCTTTTTATGTCCCCTCCCCAGCTTCTCTTGATCCCCTTCACATTTGCAAAAACACTATCTCTCCCTGTTTTCTATTACATATCTTTTATTTTGATCTTTAATTTATGAATGATTTAGGTTTCTCATATAAAAGAAATCATGTGAAATTTAAACTTGTGTGTCTGATTTATTTCACTTAACATTATAGTCTCAAGGTGCATCTATTTTCCTAAAAATGACTCAAGTTTATTCTTCTTTATAGCAGAGTAGTACTCCACTCAGTAAAAATATCACAAAATCCTTTACATGGTCTAATTTTCTGTTACCTCAGAACTCTAAGGGGTCTTGGTCACATAAAGTTTGGTTCCTGCCAACACTAAGTGCTCCAAAAGTATTAGGACCTAGAACCATTTACTTCATAAGCTCACTTAAATACACAGAAAAAGAAAAAAGAAAAGCAAAACATAATAGGAAAAAAACAGAAATTACAAGTGATAGTAACAGTGGCAAGAAAAGAGGACAATTCCCTGAAGGTGCAAACTAGCAGTTTCAAACCTTGAGCAAACTTGCCCCTAACTGGCAGCACCAATAAGAAGACTGATTTGGTAAAGAAGAAAAAGAGACAGTAGCAAAAGGAAAAGAAGAAAAGAGGAGGAAGAGAAAAGGAGTCTTAGGAACAGCTTCTACAATTTCAAACTTTTAGCACATACCAGTCACCAAATAAAAGTGTGACGCAAGGGTGTGCTAGATCCTATATTTAAAATGACTCTAGTGAAGGTGAGGACCTCTTCAGGCAGCATGGAGCCCTGCTCCATCCCACCCCACCCCCCAGCCATCAGCTTAGCTGCCAGGGCACAGCGTCCCCACCCCTCAGGCTGTGCTGCTACCTGATTCTACACTAAAGAGCCACAGGGGGTCATAAAGGTCATTCTCCTGAGCTCCAGAAGATAGAGCAGAAGTGAACAACAGAGGGCCTCTCTCAGGTTCCTTGATGAAAACTGAAGCCCACTAGAAAACTGAAGAGAATCTCTGCAATAAAGGCACACCAGACCACCACCATACTTGGTAAGTTGGAGGGATCATCACCTCCCATCTGAATGTGGACTATTTTCAGGGGAAAGGCAGCTAGAACCTTCAGTAGAACCCTGCAGAGTTCAACCCTGCAGGAGGACAGGGAGCTCAACCTGGGACTTCAACCTGGGACTTCCAGCCAGAAATCTGCCTGAGTCTCACAGGTTTGCCACTGGCTTGGTGAGACTAATTGACTT